GTGGACAGTGCTATATTACCATCTGGGTATAAGGGTAGCTGTTTTCTCTGGTTATCAAGCTTTTAAATCTTTGCCCATTTGTTGGGTAAAAAATGATATCCCGGGCTTCCCTAGTGGCGCAGTGGTTGGGGGTCCGCCTGCCGATGCAGGGGACGCGGGTTTCTGCCCCGGTCCGGGAAGATCCCACATGCCACGGAGCGGCTGGACCCGTGAGCCACGGCCGCTGGGCCTGCGCGTCCGGAGCCTGTGCTCCGCAGAGGGAGAGGCCACAGCAGTGAGAGGTCCACACACCGCAAAAAAAAAAAAAAAGATATCCCTTTGTGTGTGTGTTTCATAAAAAGTGAGATTTCCTACATTTATACGTGGTTTTGTGTCCTGTGATCACACTGCCTGTATATTCTTTCCCTGTTTTCCTAACAGCTTGTTGGCGTGTTCTTTCTTATTTGTAGGAACTCTTTATATAGTAAGGAAATTAGATCTTCACAGACGTTACAAATATATGTGTACTGTTTATTCATCTTCTTTCAACTTTATTAATATTTTTTGCTATAGAAATGAATTGTTTCAAATTTATTCCTCTTTTTGTTTGATTTCTGAGTTTGTCATACAGAGAGTCAGTTTCACGTGCAAAAAATAACTTTTTTTTCCTGTTTTCTCCTAATGCTTTGAGTTAGTTTTTTATGGTTAAGCGTTCAAGCCATCTGTGATTAGTTTGAGTATATGGAATGAGACCACAGTACTATACAGACATGACTTTTCCTATACAGAATGGTAATTTATTATATGTTAAAGGGCATTTCAACAGAGTGAGATAAAGGTGGTTTATTAACCAAGTGCTGTTGACATAGTTGCCTCACATTTGGGTACAAGATAATGAAGCTGGATCCATACTTGGTGCTTGCAGGGAAGCAGTGCAGGGCCACTGCAGCTCCGTGAGGAAAGGCAGTGACCTCAGAATGGCAGGCGAGGGCCTTGTCCACTGTAGGGCTTTGTAAGTTAGGGTCATGAATTCAATCTTATTCGAATAGTGTTTCTTTTTCACATTTCTCTTGTACTTAGCATATATTTGGGGGTTTATATTTTTATCCATTCAGCATTTTTAAATGTATTATTAATATAACACATATTTGGTGTTACTTCTGTCATCATATTTCATGTTATGTTTTCAACTCTTGATGTTTCCTTGGTTTCTACCTTTTGCTGAAATCCTCTTCATGCTTTATTTCCCTAAGGACTTGTGAACATTCACTGCTGACTTCTGGTTTTGTCTACTGTGCCCGAGAAACATGAAGCCAACTTGACTTTTCCCCTCGTAGGCTAATTGCTTTTTCTGCCCGAATATATTAAAAAACTGATCCTATAAAATTTTAAAACTCATTAATTCATGTATCAGGGTTTGTGTGGTTGTTGATCTTTTGGTGGCCGTTTTTTTGTTTCCTGGAGACAAAAGGTGTCTTCTCTATTTATTGGCTGATTAAGGTTTTAGAATATTTCAGGAATTTTTCTTCTATTATATCTTCGAACATTTGTTTCTATGCTTTTTTTTATACCTTTTTAAAAATAAATTTATTTATTTTATTTATTTATTTTTGGTTGCGTTCGGTCTTCGCTGCTGCATGCGGGCTTTCTCTCGTTGCAGCGAGCGGGGGCCTCTCACCATTATGACCTCTCCCGTTGCAGAGCACGGTCTCTAGGTGCGCAAGCTCAGTAGTTGTGGCTCACGGACTCCAGAGTGCGGGCTCAGCAGCTGTGGCGCATGAGCTTAGCTGCTCTGTGGCATGTGGGGTCCTCCCGGACCAGGGCTCGAACCCGTGTCCCCTGCATTGGCAGGCGGACTCTCAACCACTGTGCCACCAGGGAAGCCCTCTCCCTTGTTTTTTTTTTTTTTTAAGGTACACCTTTTGGGGTTGTTGTTGTTATCTTTGTAAGGCAGTCAGTTTCTCTTAAATTCAGTGTTAACTTTTGTTCATTGCTCAGTTTTCTTGAGCCTGCCCTACCCTACCCTGACTGGTTTCAACAGTGTCCATTCTGGGTTATATTTCCATGGCCTTAATCTGTCACATCGACCTTTCCTTATTTGTTTCCTTCTTTGATATCTTACACATCTTATTTTAGCTCTTGTTTCAATGAAAGGCCACATATTCTTTAGCTCTTTTCGCCTTGTCAGGAGCATTCAAAATATTTTTCTGTGCTTTGACCTGGTTCTTTCTGTGGAGATTGTTTCATATTATTATCATTTATTTATATGTCATATTCTTCTTTGTTATTTTTTGATGATGTCTAGGGGAGGGGGCTTCACAGTTTTTTCAGAACGCTTTCTCATCAGTATGTCTCTTCCGCACTGGTCACCCGTCACTTTGTGGTAATGACCACCTCCCTCGCCACCATTTCTTCTCCTCAGGTGAGTTGGAGGCCTCTATGCCTCACAGGGAATTTCTGTGCATCACAGGTTTTCTGTTAGGTGAATTTGCATTTATTTCTTTTCACTTTGCCTCGATTGGTATCGGCTGAGCTGATTGCTCTCTTTGCTCGGTCCTGTGCCCTGCCATTCTCCTCAGTCACTTCTGGGGGGAAAAGGCATTTGTGTGCGCATTGCCCTTGAACTGCAGTTTGCCTGCTGTGTTGAATTGGACCAGGGACCTCAGCCATGACTCGTACCTACCTCTGTATCTCACCCTCTGAATAAGAGCTGATTCAGCTCTTTCTGGGGTTGTTCCACCTCTTTGTTGGAAACCTTTTCCCTCGGAAGGTTTTGTCTTCTATTGACATTCTCCCTTGATTTGATCCTACTTCATCATATTTATCAGCCTCTATTCTATGTCATTTGTAGTTTTAATTAAGGCTGTCTCATAATTTCATTGAAAATAACTTTTCTATTTTCAACTGTTTTGCTGCTTTCTATTGGTATTAGGGAGGGGAGGACAGTAAAAATAGTACTACTCTACCTTCAGCAAAAGGCACTACATTAACTGAATTAAGCAATAAAATAGTTGTGTTCACTAGATATTTATCAGTGTTCTCTGTATTGTTTGAATAGGAGAATAGAAAAGTATAACACAATCTTGGGAAAATTAGGTTAAGACCCTTGAAGCACTTTATAAGTATGCTTGAATCAGGTGTGGATCTGGACTCTCATTGCACTAAAAGTTTGGTTGGAGCACTGATTGCCGAGACCTCATGTGATAGGGAGGCCGTGCAAATAAAGTTGTTGTTTTAGGCATGGCTAATATTTGAATAGGTGTGGTAACAGCATTCTGAGTGCAGAGCCGAGCACAAACTTCTGATTCTTAATTCTCCACCAATATTTCTTCACTGAGAATAGCCAGGCCTCATGGGGACCTCTGGGGAGGTAGTTGAAATGAAGAGTAAATAGGAGTGAGGAAGGGTTTTTGAAGGTCAGCAAGCTTATCTTAGATTTCGGAGGGATCCCTGGTAGTCCTTTGAATGAGGGAATGAGATGATGAAAGCTGTGCTGAGAAAACTCTATCTGGAAGTTGAATTGAGGTATTTCGTTCGATCCCACTGGGACATGGTGAGTGAGTCCCTGTTTGTACCGAGCATCCTACTGGGTGCAGTTGTGCAAATCTGGGAACAATTCCTGGCTCAGGAAACTTAGTCTGGGGGAGTCAAGAAACTGACTTAGAAAAATCTGACTTAGTAAAATGTCAGTAGCAGAGTTAATCTCAACCCAGATTATTATGGGGTGGCTGTTCCGCGTTGCCAGAGTCCTTCCACGGTAGTAATGGATTCAGTCTGTCATGATGTTACGCCACTAAGGTGGATTCTGTGATTAGCATGGGGTACATTAAAGACTACCCCACATCACCGGGATCCTGCTGTATCGTATAAATTCAGCTGAATTTTAAACAGCGGCGTTTTGTATCCTGTATTTCTGTATTTACTTTTTTTCTAAATCAGGTTTCCATTCAGCCTCCTTATGGCTCGCCCATCTTCTGCTTCGCTCTCACCACCTCCATATCTTCTCCTAATTATACCTGGTAATGGTTCCTTCTCGAAGATAATTTTTTTCTTTTATAAATTTATTTATTTTATTTATTTATTTTTGGCTGTGTTGGGTCTTCGTTGCTGCACACGGGCTTTCTCTAGTTGCGGTGCGCGGGCTTCTCATTGTGTTGGCTTCTCTTGTTGCGGAGCACAGGCTCTAGGCGCACGGGCTTCAGTAGCTGTGGCACACGGGCTCAGTAGTTGTGGCGCACGCGCTTAGTTGCTCCGCGGCATGTGGGATCTTCTCGGACCAGGGCTTGAACCCGTGTCCCCTGCATTGGCAGGCAGATTCTTAACCACTGCGCCACCAGGGAAGTCCCAATAATTTTTTTTTTGTCGTTCATGTCCCTGGCATTTTGCTCTGCAGTTGTTTTTACGTCAGTCTTGCCTAATCAATTAGAATTATGGTCTACTTGAAGATATAATCTGTACTTAATTTATTTATACATCCCATGTTACTCCAAAAGATGATTTGAGCATGTTTCTTTCCTATTATTGTGTGTTGCCCTTTGCTGAGGTGGTGGACATTTGATTAAGGAGGGTCAGTATTTTATGAGCTAAGAACACACATGACCAACAGAGGAGTTTCTGTGGTTTTTTATTTATTTTTATCTATTTGAAAGTCCTACAAAGATAAATCATATTTATCGAGTCAACTTTTTAGGAGAAAGAACATGAAGTTGAGACCCTTCCAGTATTGAGAAAGTGTTGACACAAAACATATTAGATGTAAATTAAACATAAATTGCTTTTCTGTAAATATGTACGTGCTACCTCTTAAAGTCGATGTACGCCTTAAATTTTCGTTAAAATATTGGTATTTGTGATACTGGGAATCTGTATTTTATGAAAGAGCAACGCCTGCGACCCTCTGGCTCTTTATCTCTCGGCAGCTGCGTCCAGCTGGTGGTCCACATTCCCCACTACGCCTTCAGTGAATGGAAACATTTAGGTCAATATTGATACAAAACTTCATGAACTTTTTTCTCTTTCAGCTTTGGTTCGCCTTTGTTAATGGATTTTCTGGGCAGATTTTATTTGAACGTTGGTGCATCGGCTTGTACAACGTGGTAAGCAGTCTCCGTTTCTCTCTGATGGCATGCAGAACTAAACTGTTTGTGTCTGGGAAGTGTATCTAAGTCCCTCATCTGCCTCCATGGCAGGCAGCGCAAATACATCTTTAGGGCCTTTGTTGCTGCCCCACATCCTGCAGAAGCCCAAACTCTCCACACGTGGTTTCAATCATAGCAGATCATGCTTGAATAACCCCATGAAATTATTAACCCATATATCTTGAAAATAGACCCTTGTTACCTCCTGACTAAATGCCCGGGCAACATTTCCATGTTTTCAGCTCAAGAAAAAAATTTCTGAGCTACGTCTAAACTCATTCCACTCCATGATTTTATTTCTGAATTCTTAAACATATGCGAATATACGGTGTGTAACCTGGTGTCCTTTTTGTCCTTCTTAAAAGCGTATCTGTCCTTGTGGAAGAATGTTTCCTCCCACAGTTAGTGCAAAAATAATGAATTCTGACTTCCAGCTCCCATGGCGAATGGTAATCTACTTATTTGGTGTTTTTCATGATTTTAGAGCTCTGTTTTCATCACTTGACTGTAATGAATTCAAAAGCTAGAAATAAATATAAACTATAGACTAACATGACTATGTAGCTACTTAAGTCTTTTTTTTACTGGCAAGGAGTATAGCTTGGTGCTGTAGAGACCCGAGTGCGCCACATTTCCGGAGTTGCACCTTCACCACTGTTTTGGACCCTAACTCTGACATTCTCTGCCCTGGGGGAGTTTATACTCTGAAGCAGCCATCATAGGTAGACGTAGATGGAAGTTACCAGACATACAATGAGATAAATCGTGGTGCTGTAAGTATTTACAATTTGTGTATACATTCGTGGCTGGCTATTCAAATCATCCATTCTCAGACTCCTCCCCCCACGCACACACCCTTTTTTAGTAGCTGCTGTGCTAGGTGTTATGTATAAAACGCTGCGTACAACATGTTGCTTGAGCCCTGTATAGCTCGACGGGCTAAGAGGGTCACACGTGTAGACTAAGGTCTTGGGTTTAGGCAGCATTCAGAAGATGGTAAGTGTGTTACTCACTACAAAGTACACTAGTACACTTGTTGCTAATAATCATGCCCCCAAAGACAAAACTGACAGGTGATGAGGGCAGGGCTGAATGGATGGCCGCTTATCACCCATGCTTGAAAAGCTACTCTGATCCCCTACCACACGGAAAGGGGCTCCAGGGCCTCCCCTTGGACAGATGGTTAACTTTGCAGGACTTAAAAGTGTTTTGAGTAGGTTAAAATCATGTGACCGTTTAGGGGGCAATATACTGACTGCTCCATAGCGATTTAGTGTTGGGAGTGGCCAACCCAGGCCCACATACGTACTTGTAATTAGAAGGCTGAGACCTGGGAGGTTATGTTTAGTGCTAAGGACTGAAATGCATGTCACTGGTTACACAATAAAAATGGATTTTAGCCCTCTTCTCACGCTCAGGCAGGAGTGCTAGGTTCTTTCCTTAGCACCCTGCAGTCTCGGGCAGTTCAGATTCATCCAACAAGCTCGTACTGAGTGGCTATTACACATCAGATGCCAATAGGCTGTAGGATGATGTTGGTCAAGATGCGGTCCCCAGACCACCTGCATGAGAAGCACCAGGATTTCTTTGAAGATGCAGATTTCCCAGACATCATCCTAACTTAACAAAGAGTTTCTCAGAGGTACTGAGAAGCAAAACAAAAATTTAAATAAAACTTTCTAGCAGTGGTTACCCATATTAAAGTTGAAGACCCACGATGACCTCTGATCCCTAGGGTTGGGGATACGTTTTATACCCTTTGTATCCTCCAGATGAGAGACGATATGGCAGCAGAGAAGTGAATTCCCAGGTGAAATGGCCCTGTGACCACGGGTCCACAGTACCAGTGTGGGAGACGGTCACCAGGGAGCGGTGGCAGAGTTGGGACAGTCAGATCCAGTGGGGTCAGAGGGTCATTGGCCTCCACAGTCAATCACTGGAAGGACCAAAGCTTTTGAGGACTTGGAAGTCTGCCCCCATAGCAACTGTCTTGGTAACTTTTGGTTGAAATAAATAGAAACTTAGAGAAGAGTTGCAAAAAAGAGTACAAAGAACGGTATACCCAGACTCATCAATTATTGGCATTTTGCCTACCATATGCGTCTCTCTCAAGACACGCGCACATGTGCGTACGTAGGCTCGTGTGCACACACACTCCAGCACGTATATTTCTGAGCCAGTTGGGAGTCAGTTAAGACATAATGCCCATACTGTTCATCCTTTCGTGCATAGCTGGACCATTCTCTTCCATAACCACAGTATAATGATCAAAATCATACAGTGTAACGTGGATACCATACTACTGTCTAAGCCCTACTACCCCGTATTCCAATTTTGTGGTTACTCCTCTGTTTAGCCTTTGCTTCCACTCCAGGTCCCTCCGCAGTTTGTGACATCTGAGACATAGCTACTGACCCCTCTCCTGGGCTGGAGTCTCCCCTGCCATTTTCTTTCTTTTTTTTTTTTTTTTTTTAACATCTTTATTAGAGTATAATTGCTTTACAATGGTGTGTTAGTTTCCGCTATGTCACACGCTATAGAGGACAGGTAAAGGTAACAGTCTTAGGAAGCACCGTCCAAGGGGCTTCCCTGGTGGCGCAGTGGTGTGTTTATTCAACAAAGTGAATCACTTATATCCCTTGCCATTTTCTGCAAGCAGTATTGCTTTTTTCCTTTTCGGTACTTAATGCTTCGTGTTTGATTCCCCAAGCCAGCTAAAGTAGAAAGTCATCGTTTTCTCAGTCTCATTCTCAGAGCAGATTACATAGCACTGAAACTCCTCCATCTCCCAAGGTCATGAATCATTGCCGTCCTGTTAGATGCTCATTCTATCCATAGTCAAATTTCTACATCATTTTAGGTTATGAGTAGAATGAGACTAAAGAGGCTACCAGTGACAAAAGCTACCATGATCAAATGGATTTTAGCTACATGTTATCCATTTTTTAGTGAAGAGTTAACTCTTTTGAACACTGTTTCAGAAAAGATCTCCTCCTTAATTTTCAAGCCAGCAGAATTTGAAGAAAACTGAGCCAGCCTTACTTATAAATATAAAAATTGTAAATAAGGTATCAGCAAATAGAATTCAACGTTGTATCAAAAGAATAAAATATTTGACAAAGAAGGATTTATTTCAGGAATATAGGAGGCTCAAAATTTTTAAATGTTTCTAAGTATCACTGTATCAGCCAAAAAAAGAAAAATGTGATCCCATCAGTAGATGGTGCAAAAGTCTTTGAGTCAATTCAGCTGCCCGTTCCAAAATAAGGACTCTAAATAATATAGGAAAGAAATAAGTCAATTAACTATAATGCAGACTGTTTATTAAAAAAACCAGTAGCATATTGCCATAAATGGTAAAATTCTAAAGTGATTTCATTTTCAATAAGAAATTAGTCAGGGATTCCTGCCATCACTGTGTAACTCAGCATTGTTTTGGAATTTTCAGCAAAACTACCAAGAAAATTAAATAACTATTACAAACACTAGGGAAAAGTAAAATATTTCTGTGCTTATACAAATACACGCACCGAAAATGGCCATGTTAAATACGTTCATATATGACTGTACCTCTAAAAAACCCAAAACATGCCAGTAAAGAAATACTAGGATTATAAGAAAATTTGATAAGGTGGCCAGATTCATAATAAATATCTAAAAACCCATAGTTGTTTTCTGTCCTGGCAATCACTAGCTTTTTTTTTTTTTTTAATTCTAACAGTGAGCGCTTAGAAACGCAAGGAGAATAGTAATTCCTTTCAAAATAGCAATTAGAATTATACATTTCATAGGAATAATTTTTATAGTACCTCCATGAAAAACACCCCAAATCTTACCTAAGTATATGCAACAAGATTTAACCAAATGGAAAGTCATACTATTTCCTTGTATGGGAAGACTTAGTATCATAAAAAACTTAGTATCAACCCTTCCAAAATTAGTATATAAATTTATGTGATTCCATATAGAGTCCCAATGGATGATTGTTTGGGGGGTGGGGGGAGAAGGGAATTGCATAAAATGATATTAAGGTATGAATGGAATTAACAGGCATCTAAGAATAAATATGCAAAGCATGTTCAAAAAAGACCAATCAGAAAGGTACTTATCTGAACATCTGACTATACTGTAAAGCTGCCATAACCACATCAATGTGATACTGACAGAGAACTGGACAAATAAGTCAGGGAAGTTAGCACTAAAGTTGGTGGTCCAGGGAAATGTACATTGTTTAAAAGTAAGCGTCAAAACTTAGGTTGATACTAATTTTTCAAGCTGGAGAGTATTAAATAGAATATAGCAAGCATTGCTGACAGGGAAGCAGGGAGAAGATTGTTGTCCTTTCTGAAGGGAGAGATACACAATGGGAACCTTTTCTGAAGGCAGCCAAGCAGCATCCTCTAAAGTTTAAAATACATGTATTTTTTTACCCTTACAGACCTGCTTTTGGGAACCTTTCGCATAGAAATAAAAGATAAAGGATAGATGTTACAATATGTTCTAGGTGTTTATTACATGATGTTTGTGGCAGTGAAGAACTAGAAATAACATGAATGCCTGTCCATAGGTGATGGTTGAAAAACTATGATCCATCCATACTATGAAATATTATGTGAGCATGAAAAAGGCTGCTTCGGGGTCAAACCCAGGGTACTTGGGGACTTCCCATGGTGTATTGTTTAATGAGAAAAATAAGATGAAGAAAATGTGTTTGATGTCTTGTTTCTGTAAAACAAATAATGATCCCGAGCAGTGTGCGTGTAGAGGGGGAAGGGGTATGCTACAAGCTGGGTGGGAAATCTGGTAGGTTGTTAGCCTGGGGATGTGATGGGGGAGAGGATTTGAAGTGGGAGGAAGGAGGAAGTAAGTGAAAAAAGGAAAAGCAAAAATAAAGCTGGCTGTGTAAAGAGTATGCAGATAGCTTCTTTAACCAAACGGTGAGGGCGAGTTCATATACTGAGTGTGCAGAGCTTTTGAGATGCTTGTGGGGTGCTTTCCTGTAGCGTTTGTTGTTGTGAGATGTGAACGCCACCGCTCTGGATCTTGTTCTCCCTGAAATCTGTAGAACATTGACATCCCAGGGCTGTTTTCCTCTACGCTCCCGGGTGAAGATGGAGCTGCTGGTGAGTTTTATGGGCCTCACCCCACCGCAGCTCTAGTTGCTTTATCCCAACAGACTTGGAAAAGGCTGACTCCTCTGGTCGGATGTTCAGGCTCCTGGGAACTGGTGTGCAATCAGAACTCTCGTAGGGACACACATCCAGTTCCCATGGCCCTGAGAGCTCGCTGGGCTCGTGGGTACAGATTTGCTTGATGTTGATGCAGAGCAAAGAGCGACCCGTGCACACACCCAAGGAGAAGGTGGTCCTCGGGTCTGCCACACCGCCTGGGCTGGATGACATGCTTGTTCCAACCCTCTTCTTCAGCTATGTCACACGCTATAGAGGACAGGTAAAGGTAACAGTCTTAGGAAGCACCGTCCAAGGGGCTTCCCTGGTGGCGCGGTGGTTAAGAATCCGCCTGCCAATGCAGGGGACATGGGTTCGAGCCCTGGTCTGGGAAGATCCCACATGCCGTGGAGCAATGAAGCCCGTGCACCACAACTACTGAGCCTGCGCTCTGGAGCCTGTGAGCCACAACTGCTGAGCCTGTGCACCACAACTGCTGAGCCCGTGCACCACAACTACTGAGCCCACGTGCCACAACTGCTGACCCCATGTGCTGCAACTATTGAAGCCTGCATGCGTAGAGCCCGTGCTCCGCAACAAGGGAAGCCACTGCAATGAGAAGCCCACACACCGCAACAAAGAGTAGCCCCCGCTCGTCACAACTAGAGAAAGCCTGCACACAGCAACGAAGACCCCATGCAGCCAAAAATAAATAAATAAATTTATTTTTTTAAATAAAGGGAAGCACCCTCTGCCCAAGAGCTGGGGGGTGATTCTGTCTGCATCCCAGCCTTGTCTTGTGCCGTGTCCCTAGCTAACCGCCATCCTGAACATACTAGAGCTTCCCCACAAACGTGCTATCCGTGTTTGTGCCTCAGAGCTTTGTGACGGGTGCTGCTTTCGTGGGGATGCTTCCCTCTGCATCCCTCCCACCAAATCCTGCAGGTCCAGTACCTTACAGGGCAGAAGCTGTTTAGCCCAAGCATCCTTCCTTGATTCCCCGTCTCCTCTCCCCCAGGAGTGATTTTGCAGAGTGCTGTGTTTTAAGTTTGTTCTATGCCTGTTGCCAGCTGCCCCGTCCCCAGCTCTGCAGCAGACGGAGTTCCTAGCAGTCAGGGACCTGCTTCCTTGCCTCTTCCTCCTTCTGCTTCTAAATCTCTCTTTCCCTGGGGATTATCACAATACCTGGCCCATCATGCACTCCCCTTAAAAGTCCATCGAATGAATGAGTGGGTGAAGTACATAGTGCTTCCTGAAATGCGAGTGTAAAATCAGGATGGAAAGTTGCACATGGGGCCTCAGCACTCACAGGGAGACACTGCCACACTGCACAGAGCTCACCGCGGTAGGATTCTAAGTCACAGCTCGTCTACAGAGGAGGGCAGTTGTTACTGGAACAGACTTCTTGGCTAATCAGATACTTAGGATGTTGTTTTTAGCGTTCATTAGGCAACAGTTTAAAATGGTCTTTCGTTTGTTTGTCGGGAGGGTGTCTGGGGAGTCGTGAATCATTGAACCTCAGGTTTGGACTCAGTCGAGAGTTAAGTCATCATCGCGTAGACATGAACCACCGGAACCGCGTGAGTGGAAGGGCCTCTGGTGATGGCTCACTGTTGTCTACGCAGATTTTCACGGCGCTGCCCCCCTTCACTCTGGGCATCTTCGAGAGGTCATGTAGCCAGGAGAGCATGCTGAGGTTCCCGCAACTCTACAAGATCACCCAGAACGCCGAGGGCTTCAACACCAAGGTAAGCCACGCGTGCACAGGGCCCCCTCGGAAGGCACAGGTGCTGTGTCCTGTCCCTCAGCGCTGGTACCTGCTCAGAGGGGGCGTTTGAAGGGAGGTGAGGCCCCGGGTCTCTCCCGGTATCGCAGGCACGGTGAATTCAAGCTGCCACATCGGGAAGGAAGCGTCCGTCCCTTCCTGTTCAGTAACGCCTTCTTCTTCCCTATGTGGGCCCCCCATGACCATGTGGCCAGCGGCCCACACGCCCCAGGACCTGTAGGATCCAATCGTCCCCCACCCCATAGAGCCCTGTCGCCTGGCACGGCCCCCCCCTCCATCACTGCCTGGTTCTCAGGGACAGGAAAATGTCCCTTCAGCCGGGGAGGAAAGTTGGCCAGAGGTGAACACAGGAGTCGAGTCAGGCGTGGGTATTATTTTCAGTCTGGTGGATCAGGAAAGAGAAAACATCTAGACAGACATGGAGTAGGCAGTCCTGAGATGAGCCTGGCTTAGGTGTTACAGGGGTCCCGCCGTCAGGAGCGGCTAAGGATTCTAGTGTGTCACTGACCCGCCAGCCACAGCTAGGAGGGCAGAGGTGAGGGCCCCCGGCTGGAAGGGGAAGTAGGTACCCGGCTGGGTTGGGAGGCAAAGATGCCCACACGCCTGCATCGCCGTGTTTCCGTCTCCGGTGTTTGTGCAGGAGGGGATTCAGAGGCTGGAACAGAGGCTCGATGCCCAGCTCGGTTAAGACACCATGTGCCGGCTGTGTGTGGGATTAGCCTGCGTGGACACCGACCAAGGCTTTAGGGAGGATGCCACGGGAGTCCTCGGTAGAGAGCAGTCTCTGAAGGGTTCGTTTTGAGCCAGGTGTCGTGCTTGTCTTCCTTCAGGGCTGCCTCCTGTTTGGGAAAGTGTAACAGGCATGTCCACATCTGGAAAAAACACAAGGGGATACTGCTGGTTCTAGTGTGTTCCACGCACAAGGAGACGGGGCTGACTAATTATATCGGTCCTTGTTCACCATGGCTCTGTCGATGGGAAATATGGCCTGTTTATGCCACATTGTTTACGTAAATCGTTACGGAGTTTGAATTCAGAGGCCATGTAAGGAGAGAGGTAGGGAGAGGACCCATTGGAAAGGTAGCCGAGCTGAGGGTGCTCGGAGACTGACCTGCAAGCATTTTGAAGATCTGGGGGTGGGGGGACAGGGGGCATACAGAGAGCAGGGAGAAGATAGGAAAAAAATGAACATTTAAAATAGGAAAATCCCACTGTCTTATAATTTCTCATTATTTTCTGTTGTCCCATCACTACTTAAGATCCAACTATATATATATGACAATTCCCAGAACAATTTGTAGATTTCTAAATAAATTCAATCTGGCTGTAGTAATTCTGTCATCTCAGAGTTAAAAAGATGAATGAAATGCATTTATGAAACTATAAGTTAGAAGAAACTAAACTTCGTGTTCTTTTGTTTGACCTTTCAGGTGTTAAAGAGAATTTTTAAATGTGTATGATATTCATCTAAATCCTAAAAACTGAAAAATTGTATGGGTGGGATTTTAAGGGGTAAAACGAAAGAGTGAGCATGCTGTGTAGGAATTTACATTTTAAATGTTTTTCATGCTTTCAAGAGTATGGCTTCAGTCTCTTCATTAACAGTTTGACCCAATACCCTTTCTCTGGATGACTGTAAAATGTGGTCTTTCTTTCCATTCTAAAGGAAATGGATCGTCATTTATTTTTTGGATGTGGATAGATTGTATGCTGTCCTGTTTATATGTGAATATCTCTTTAGGTCTTTGTACTAGAGTAATATTATCTGGAGATAGCCCAGTCATCTGTATGTTAAAAATTGGGGTTTTTTCCGCCTTCTGGAGCTGGGCATCGCAGCCAGCATCCCTGACAATGAGGGGCTTGTTGAGCTACACAGAGTTCAAGAGTGTGGGCAGCTCCTGACTCCCCTGGTTTGTTTTCCCTTAGGTTTTCTGGGGTCATTGCATCAACGCCTTGGTCCACTCCCTCATCCTCTTCTGGTTTCCCATGAAAGCACTGGAGCACGGTAGGTAATGGCTTCGAGATCCAGCTCTCAGCAGGTAGCTTTGCAGCCCCTCAGCGCCAGTTGTTCACAATTTTCTTCCCCAGTTCTGCAGACCCAGAGATCACAGGAACAAATTTCGAAAGAAAAACATAGGAAACATCTGATGGGCTTAATAGCTTGTAGGTTTCACCCATTCTGGCTCTGAGAACCCATTTTCTTTCTAGTTGCCTGGAGAGTTTAAATACTAGGAATTCTAAACTTTATTTTTAATAACCATTTTTGAGTCAAGGATCTTGAAGAAAAGCACTGTCCTATAACGAAACATCGATGCCTCTTGTGCACCAATTTGAAATTTTCTGTTAATTACTTGGGCTTTCGTTTTCCAAGCCTGACATACCTCTATGCCAAATAACTCAAATCTCGTGAGAGTTTTATCTTATGCCCAGTTTTCCGAAAGTCTCCTTTCCTTGACGTACACTTTTCAAGCAAACGTTTAAAGCTTGCTGGAGGACTGATTCTCCCTGTTGGTTTCAGTCTTCCCTAAGCTGAAGGAGGGGTGTATTTGTTCACACTTCTTAATACATCCAAAATGTGACCTCTTAAAGAGACATACCTTTTAGTCTCAAAAAGTGAAAATGTGTTACAAGAATGCTACTTTTTACCCGTCTCAAATCATAATAATACCCCTGGGGAAAATCACTCCAAATGTTGACTAGACAAGGCCTTTCATTGTATAGAGAACCAACAAATAGAAAGTTTCCAAGCTTCTTTGTTTCTGTCAATGTTTTTCTGTGTTTCAAATGGACATGATTCATCCTTACTGACGTGCTTTAACCTGTCAAATGCATGCCCAACAAATGTGTTATATACCCTGTGACCTTTTCTCTCAGTTTCATCCGATGCCCTTTTCCTTCAAGGGTCCCTAAGTCTCTAAATCAGAAAATACAATTTTCTGCTTCCAGCCCCACCCCCAAAGGGCATTCTAGTGGAATCGTTCTCTTTGAATAATAAAGCTTTCCTGTGATTCATCTTCACTAATAGTAGATTTAATTCCTTTTGAAATGGTTTTGTGAGTAAGGGCTTACAAATATAAGAGTGTTGACTGTGGTTTGTTTTAGAAGCTCTGACAGTTTGGTGATAAAGCAGCCGTCATTGTATCAGGCTGGGCTGGGGATGGGAGGTAGTGTGTCTTGTGTGTCTCGTGAGCACAAGAACAGGTTTGGCAGGTGTTCTCTAGGCCAGGAGCCCAGCCTTTCGTCCTTAGGAACAGACAGGCCCCCCACCCTCTTACCTCGGCATAGACTTTGTCCCTAAATGTGCAGTGCTTGCCTTTGGACTCACAGAAGTTTGGCACGATGGTCATTTACTCGCCTGCTTCAGAAGGAGCTAGCATGGCCTGTTTTCAGCAAAGACGATGGTTTTCTGATCCTGAGTCATGAATATGTGCTTTGAGATTGTGGTTTGTAGTTTATGTTGGGATCATTATTGTTTACCTAGATTCCATCATGTAAATCCATTCATTCTCCTAATGTGGTCTGTATTGGGAAGGGGATAGACTCCAAACAGTTACTAATTTACCTAAGAGATATCACCAGATGAATTTCAAGTTGGTTTCTATCACCCTTACCTGCTTCCCTCAGATTAGCAATTTGCCAAGCAGCCAAAAGAATGATTTTTTTCCCCATCTTTAAAATCATTGTCAGCATCATTATTTCATCATATACCTTCAGCACAGAGGTTTTCTTTTGGTTGTGTTGAACAGTAACCTTTTTTTTTTTGCGGTACGCGGGCCTCTCACTGCCGTGGCCTCTCCCGTTGCGGAGCACAGGCTCAGCGGCCGTGGCTCACGGGCCCAGCCGCTCCATGGCATGTGGGATCCTCCCGGACCGGGGCACGAACCCGTGTCCCCTGCATCGGCAGGCGGACTCTCAACCACTGCGCCACCAGGGAAGCCCAACAGTAACCTTTTGAGTGAAACCGTTGAAGGTGAAATAAATAGCAAACATTAAGCGTATTTAGCCAAGAACAACCAGAGGCCAGTTGGTGTTCTTGGTCACTGGTTGATGTCCTCTAACAAATGGAATGTATATTTTAGGATTAATTTCTAAATTCTCACTATTAATATACAGCGAAATGATTTTTGTTCCTTAGCGCTATTCATTCATGTGATCCTTATGTCTGAGACACTGTGGTAGATTCTGAGGGTGGTGCGTAAATGAATCAATGCGGGTCTCACCCTTCAAGGAGTTTGTAGTCTGGTAAGTTAGCGGGTAGTCCTCTCGCAAGGCAGAAAATCATTCTCAAGTAAAATACAGGTAAAGTGCTCTCGGACTGTAGAGGGCTGAGAGAGAGATGCCTTTCAGGTGGGATGATTCGTGGCTCGTTCGAGGAGATAATGTGTAGCCTTAGCCTGAAAGTCCAGGCAAAGGGAGATGTGGAGGGTTAGAGGAAGAGGCAAACGAAGGAGAGCGATTCTAGACAGATGTGGAGAGCTTGAGAAGGTCATCCCTTCCAGGGTGGAAGGCAGGGCAAAGTTGGAGAAGGCAGGTGAAAGCTGGATTGCCGAGGGCTTGGGACGCGATGCTAAGAAATCGGGACTTGCTTTGGAGGCAGTGAACATTCAGTAGAGTTTAGATCAAGGCAAGTATTGTGATCAGAGCAATTTGGGGGAAATGAATCCATCGTATCTCGTTAAGGTGAACGGTAGAAGGCAAACTGGTGGCAAGAATCCTAGTTAGGTTTCCTGATCCAGGGGAGCCTAAGGAGGGTTAGACCCAGGGACTGGGAATGTGTTTAGAGAGGAGGGAGCATGTTTAGAGAAGAACTTGATCAGCAAAATTACTGCAGACCTATGATGTGCCAGGCGCCGAGGGTGCGGTGGACATAAGAGCATGTCTTGCTCTCTGGGGGCTTCCATAAAGTCAGAACTGGCCATCAGGAATCACACACATAATTGCTTCATGGCCAGTGTGCTGCGTCCTACAGGCTGCAGGGGGAGCTTGTAATACCGGGACACAGCCTAGTCTAGCGGGTCAAGGAAGCATCTTCTCCAAGGAAGTGATACTTAAGTTCTTAAAAGATGAATAGGGGATGATCCAGTAGGGCCGGGAGGTATGGGTAAAGGCGGGGAGAAAAAGCATTCCTGGCTGGGACCACGAGCACACAGGGCTGGTGCTGCCGAGGAGCTAGGAGAGCCCGTGGGCAGTGGCTCCCAATGGGGTGGGGGTCGGAGGGTGGGACTCGGGACCTTGTTCAGCCTCTGGTGAGCGTTTCCAGACACTGAGCATCCCTGGCCCTGGTCGGTGAACCCGCCCACCGTCACCCTTTTCCCTATCCTTGTGCAACTATGAATCAGAACACGTCTGCACACATTTCCAGCATCCCCTCTGGGTCTGCAGCAGCATCCCTAGTCGAGAGAGCTGTAGCATTCTGGGTGTTAGGTGACAGTCAGATCACCAAAACCCACATGGGGACTTTTTTTAGTGAAGGGTTTAAGGTAGGAGAGTTAACACCATGGGACTTGCCTCTGAGGAAGATAAGACAACTGTGTGGAGAAATACATAAGGTCTGGCAAGAGCGTGGGTTTTGTGTGTTTGTTTTCTCCAGGGGGGCAGACGGAAGTCAGAGGTGAAAATCAAGGAAACTTGCAAGTTTGAGAAGAGCCGGGATATGGCAGCTGATTCGATAACTTACGTGTTGATTGTCCTAAATATAAATGCGCTCCTGTTACACTTTGAATCGCCCCTTAGAAGGATGCATTCACCCTTCTCCCAAAGAAGCGAAGAAGCGTGACACCAGTTTGAGACAAACTGGGGCACTTTCAGAGTATGGGGACCCTGATCTCACAGAACAGTGCCTTTGGGCCCCCCTCCAGCCCCAAGTCCTGCTGGAAATTGTCCATCAGACACGTGCCACACTCAGAGCCCTGAGGGGCTTTGCCCCCAGGGGCTGGGGTCTGCAGAGTAGCTTTGTTCCATTGTTTCATGCTCTGTGGACTGTGTCGCGAAGATGGTGGATTTTACCGGGAAATTCTCTCCGGTCTCCATGGAGACAGGCTTAGGTACATGCAGTGCTGGTCACTTCCCAGCATCATTGTTGGGAAGAAACGTTTCTAAGAAGGTGTGAGCCTGTTGTTCATTCCTTAGGAAGCTTCCAAGAATTTTGCCTTGCTTATTTTTGCATGGTTTTGGATAGAATTTTCAAAACATTCCTTGGCTGATGGAGTTGGTGATGATTCATTTCAAGCTTCAAAATACATTTTTCCACTCCGGCAATTCCGTAAATCAGATTTCTTCCAACCGTCACAACCTTACGCTCACGGCCACGGCTGGCCTGTAGCTCCCACCCTTTGATCTGAAACATGATTTTAGGTTAAAACCAGAGACATCACCTTTGCAGGGACCAAAATTCATCAAGACCTCGGTGTCAGGCCACACTCGGGCTTTCCATTGGTGTATCCAGTCTGCATATTTGAGCAACCCTCCTTGAAGTGGAATGTGGTTATTGGCAAAAGGACGTAAAATCCGTTTTGATTTTAAAAAAGGAAATTTTCAGATTTTTCTTGATGAAATTTAAGAGGGAGGTGATGGGAATATACTTACCAGCAGAGAAAAATTCCCGAAAAAAATTGTTCTTGACTCCTCACAGTGCACACTCTGGAAACCATTCCCTACTCTTTCTAGAAGAAGAAATACCCTGTGGATACTTTGAAATACCATGTGGATAATTATTGGCACTAATTAAGCAACAGGGTCTCTGAAGATTCTTGGAGAAGGCTATTTTATACTTTTTAGTAAATGTGCTACTGTAAGACGAGGCATGTTTTATAAACTGAAATGATAGTGCACATGTATAAAATGAGATGTAGGGTACTTCTCTCTGCCTGTGCCATTATTGGGTCATTTAAGCTTGAATTATTTATGACCTATGCCTATTACTGTAAACTTGGTTGTTTTATATCATGTCAGTTTCATTTTCAGCTGAGTTGGGGCATGACTGCCATTGTTCTCCGAGATTGCAAC